TATCATTACAGTCAATATCATTGTTTTGAAAACATGTTAACCATTGATTGTTTTTTGTTTTATTTTAAATAATGAATAGCCTGTAAGTATTTTCATCATTCATTTATTATTACAGTCGGTATCATTGATTTTGAAAACATATTAACTGTTGATTGATTTTGTTTTATTTTAAATAATGAATAGCCTGTAAGTATTTTCATCATTTACCATTATTACAGTCAATATCATTGTTTTTGAAAACATATTAACTGCTAATTTTTACTTCATTTTAAATAATGAATAGGAAGTAAGTATTCACTATTATTTACTATTATTACGGTCAATATCATTGTTTTTGAAAACATATTAACTGCTAATTTTTACTTTTATTTTAAATAATGAATAGCATGTAAATATTTTCATCATTCATTTATTATTACAGTCAGTATCATTGTTTTTGAAAACATATTAACTGTTGATTGATTCCTGTTTTATTTTAAATAATAAATAGAAAGTAAGTATTTTCATCATTACTATCATTATGGTCAATATCATTGTTTTTGAAAACATATCAACTGTTTGATTGATTCTCGTTTTATTTTAAATAATAAATAGAAAGTAAGTATTTTCATCAAAGCCAATATCATTGTTTTTGAAACATACTAACTATTAATTTTTATTTTATTTTATTTTAAATAATGAATAAGTCTGTAAGTATTTTTCATCATTACACTATCATTACAGTCAATCATTGTTTTTGAAAAAATATTAACTGTTTGATTGATTTTTGTTTTATTAAATAATAATAGAAAGTAAGTATTCTCATCATTTCTATTATTACAGTCAATATCATTGTTTTTGAAAACATATTAACTGTTTAATTTTCTCTTTATAGTAAACAAGGCTGTATTTGCTCTTTGGTTCTTTGACAGCTTCATTTATACTTTAATTTTTGGTTGTAAAAATATTATAAACTGTACTCTTCTTTTTACTTTTATCTTTTATTTTTTATTGGATATTATAATTTTTACGTTGCATAAGGTTCTCATGCAAACGATAATGTTTATTTTACAACATAGAAAGCAAAAATAAATAAATCAAATTTATACATAATAAGTGTTTATTATAATTCAAAAAAGCAAGTTTTATGTGTCAATATAAATGTGGAATGAAAAGAAATAAAGTTGTGTTTGATAAAAGAGTTAAATAATAATAATAAGACGAAAATCTAACAGTAGACAACGGTAGACACTGAAAAAAACCCCCCATCTGAAGCGAAACATGATTTAAGTCAAATCTCTGCTTCGCTCAGCCTGATGTTTTGAACAAAAATGGATAAATTTTTCGGGAATTCGCATGATACGGTGATGTAAAAATAATCGCAACCATTTATCATTTTCGGAAAACGAAAATTTCATCAATTTCAAGCTAGCATAGCAAAAAAAGAAAAAACGACCTCTGATTTACTGAAGCTGAGAAATAAAAATGTTTAAAAGATTTGTAAACCGAGTTTACTGTTTCAAGTTAATATTTACCATGTAACAAAACATTTCAAATTTGGGTAAAATTGTTAGATTAGGGAAAACATAAAAGAAAAAAATTACACAAATATAAAAATCTATGACATTTGGAAAGGAACCATAACACAGAAACCTTTCTTTCTTTTCTTTTTTTTTACGTTAAATAATATAATTGTTATTCTCAAAAACACCAAGTCAAATTTATATATTATATCTTTATATAATGTCATATGATAAGCTATTATTATCATTGTCACCAGAAAGAAAGGAATTTGTATATAAAATTTATATTGAAATACTTAATGATGCAGCAGTTAATTCTGATAGAGAAAGTAGAAAAGATTATTTTTTTTCATTGGTTGAAAAAAACAAGGAGTTTACTGAAAATGAAAAAGAATATTGTAAGGAAAGGTTTATTTATAATTTTGAATTAAATAATGCAAAAAATAAAGGGGGAAAACCAAAAGAATGTAACAAGTGCAAATTGACAAGATATTCTGATAGATTCTGTGAAGGTTGCATCAGTTTACAACTACAGTGTCTTTTTACCACTTGGACATCTGGAAATAACATAATTGATGATTTTATTCAACAATGTCAAATGAAATCATCTCTACCAAACTATATTTTAGAATGGATACCTTTTGAGCAATTTGAAAAAGTAACAAAGTTGACAGAAGGTGGATTTAGTTCGATTTATACTGCTACATGTATAAGAGGGAGTATTGATGATTATGATGAAAATAAAAAGGAATTTAATTATTTCGGGAGGCACAAAGTAGTATTGAAAAGTTTAAATGGTTCAAGTAATCCAGGAAAAGTTTTTTTTGATGAGGTTGGTAGTTATCATTTAAACAAAATAAACAATATTGTATTATATAATACCAATTGATTTTATATTTAATTTCAGGCAATGAATTATTGTAAAATTAAATCGAATTCAATTGTTACTTGCTATGGTATAACTAAATTCCCAAATAATGGAAATTATGCAATGGTTTTAAATCATCATTCAGAAGGAAATTTAAGGGGTTATTTGCAAAAAAATCATTTAAATTTAACGTTAAACAACAGAATTACAATCTTTTATTATTTATGTTTTGCATTAAATGATATACATCAAAAAGATTTAATTCATTGTGATTTACATAGTGGTAATTTATTATTGCAAGGAGGTGGTTGTTATGTTACAGATTTGGGATTATGTGGACCAGTTGATGAAAAGTCATCAAATAAAGTCTATGGAATTATATCATATGTTGCACCTGAGCTACTTGGAGGCAAAAAGAATGCAAAAAATACAAAAGAAACTGATATATATAGTGTTGGGATGTTAATGTGGGAAATATTTGCAGGCCATCCACCATTTGATGATAGAGCTCACAATCATTGCTTGATTTTTGATATATGTGAAGAAGGTTTACGACCACCAATATTACCTGATATGCCTGATGATTATGCAAAAATGATGCAGAGGTGTTGGGATGTGGATCCATCAAAAAGACCAACTAGTAGAGAGCTTTGGACATTTGCTGCTAATAAACATGATGAAATTGTTAAAAACAATGATGATAATGATAATAATGATAATAGTAATAATGGTAGTAGTGATTCGCAACGAGTACACAAATCACATCCAGATGCATATCATACAAGTAGAATATTAGATGAAGAAATTGCTAAATCTAAGGGCTTTAAAAGTTATACAAGTAATGATAGTTTGTTAAATAATCTTGGTTTTAACTCTTTTCTCTAGAATGTCAACAAAGGTGAATAAAAAATTTCATTATTAATTAATTGGAAATTGCTATCCATTAATTATTACTAACAATATTTAATAGACATTAGATTCTAGTAACAATAGTAAAAGAAAGAATTGATAAATGACTATATAGTTAAATCTTCATTATAAATTTATTATTATTTTTTATTTTATCCTATTTTTGTTTCTCGAAGCTAAATTATAATAATGTTTTGAAATAATAAACTTTTTACAGTTTTTTGTTTCTTGTTAAATGGTGATATTGTGATGGCAAATGATTCAATTAATTAGTTTACAAATTTCACTTTGGTTCCTTCTTTTTGCACCTAAACGAATCTATGAGCACATTTGATGGTACCAGATAACTGTAAATAAATAAATATGGCCTTTTTCTAGTTCTATAAAGTTCTTTTATTCATTTGTAATCGATTTGTTTCAGTTGTTTACATTTATTGGTCGATTGCAAACTTGCTTTGGTTTACTTGCAAACAATTTAAGTAACTTGTTTAACAGTCTTACTTTTACGATTACCATAATACTACCAGTATTTTCGATTAACCTTTGGACGGCTAATCTTGCTTGCTCACTAAAGCAAATAAATGTGACTTTTTACCAAAGCTCCGCAATTGTTACCTTTTACCAAGGCATTAACTACGCTCGTTGCCTTTATCAAAGCGCTTGAAACAAAGAAAATAAAGACAATGTTTTTATTTTTATTTTTAAAAGTTTATTGACGATTAATTTATTTAATAAAAATAATGATTCTATCACAGAGTTTATTTTATTAGAATGTTAATTATCTACTCTGCGGGGTCCCGAAATTATGCTTTTTCAAGCAAAGACCAGACGTTATCCTTTGTTGATCACTACAATAAAGATAAAGATAAAGATGGGTTTATCATTGCAAAGTAACTCAATCAATCAATATTGATATTACAAAAGCTTCCATAATTATTTACACAGCATTTGACAATAGTTATAACAAGATTTTGCGTAATTATATACTAAAATTAGTTGACCCTGGAACATAAAGTATCGAATCCCCTGATCAATTATGGCGCGCCATGCTGGACAAAAAGGGTACTAAAATTTTGTTGCAACAACATGATCGATGATTTTATCTACCCAATCATGTATCACGTTACAAATTGAGTATTCGTGAAAAAAGGCCTTGGATATATATTTGCAAAATTTTTTTTAAATTTTATTAGCCTTTAAAGCAATTTTGCTTGTGTCATTTTTGATTTAATATTAAATGACAGCGAATTTGATGTAATAGTTTTACAGCAAATAATTTTTATTTGCTAAAAAAAAAAGGGATCCTAACAAAACAAATTGTCAAAACTAATCTAAAAATCCTCTAGCACTAGACATTCACAATTGATCTTCACACCATCCTATTAATAGATAATACAACCTAATATCTCCTAATCTCTTCATCCAAGGAAAGGTGCATTAAAAAGATTGAACTTACTGTTACTAGCTAAGATTAGACAATAAATATTTAGTTGCCTTCATAAACTTTCTCTATGAGTGAACAAATTTACAATATCATTATAATATTTTTCTGGATCTCTTGATTTTTCTGCTATTCCATGGTGCCCGCAAACTTACCAGTCTTTTCCGAATTTCTTCTCTTTCTCTTTGAATTTTGTAAACAAATTTATCATAAAAGAAATTACTTTGTGACATAATGTTCACTTTGTCTGGTTTTGTTGCCAATTGCCTTGCATACATGCATGCATCCTTTAACCAAAGAACATCCTCTTTCTATGTATGGTAGACACCAATTTCTTAATTTTGGGCCCCGATTTTAACAATCATTTCTAAAAATGGGAATAAAAATTTCAAATACATGATTGATTGTTCGAGATAGATTTGTAAATTCATATTTAAATATTAATTAATATTAATTGATTAATTTATTCATGGCTTCGGAAAGAGAAGGGTTTTTTGGTAGAGCCTTAAAGTAACTAATTATTCGTCAAATTTCTTTATATATCAATTAAAATTCTCAAGAAAACATTAAAATATTTTAATTTTGATTAATGTAGTTTATGGAATTTGTTTCAACATGAATATACACCATTGAGCGCACGTGGTAGTAGGCATTTTCGCGTAAATAGCTCTAGTTCTAACAGTAAAAGTAACAGTAATATTGATGTTAGGGGTGGTGGTAATAATCATTATTATGATAATGATACACTGGAAGAAATTAAAAAATATGAAGATTTCACAACAATTGGTGGAGTAATATTATAATTTCATTATTTTATAATAAAATTTAACTAAATTAATTGAAATTATCATCATCATCATCATCATTATAAAATGTATATAATTGATCTTTCGTTGTTGATCGGGATTTTTTTTTGTTTTTAATAGATTGGGTCCAAGATGCAATACATGAAAGGTCAAGATTGAATTCATTAAGAAGGACTGCTGCTGCTAATGGAAATCGATCTCCTTGGAGTAGTTGGTTAAAACTTTCATATGAAGCTGGTCAAGCATGGATAGTCGTATCTATAGTGGGTTTGTATTCCATAAAAATATGTAAATATAAATATTGCTTTTAATTAATTATCTATATATTACTTTAAATATTATTATTAGGCGCACTGATTGGTTTGAATGCAGCATTAATAGATATTATTACGGAATGGCTTGCAGATATAAAAATGGGATATTGTAAAAATTCATGGTGGTTAAATCAAAAATTTTGTTGTTGGGAAATTGAAAAAGAAGGTCTGTTGTTCTCAAAAGTGAAAGTGAGGGTGACAGAGATATATATATTACAAGCCTGCTTATTAATTAGTTTCTTTGGTATTAATTAGATGGATCTTGTGAAGAATGGCAAAATTGGTCATCATATTTTATAATAAATTGGATTTTCTTTATTTTTTTTGCGGTAACTTATTTATTTTTTAAATGCTTTTTTCCTGTTTTTAATCAATTAAAAATTTAAATTTATAAACATACCTAAATGATATTTTTTATCAATTTATTATTTTTAGACATTGTTTGCTGCAGCTTGTGCGCATACGATTCGTATTTTTGCTCCTTATGCTGCTGGATCTGGCATTTCGGAAATTAAATGTATTTTAGCAGGGTTTGTTATGAAAGAATTTTTAGGTGGTAGGACTTTATTATTGAAAAGTATTGGCTTGGTAATTAATCAATTATATATATAGCTTTTATTGTTTTATTTTTTAATGAAAAGATAGATATTATTATCTATTTATCTTATAAAATGCATATATTATAATAATAAATCTATAATAATTTCTGTTAATTAGCCATTGGCGATTGCATCAGGATTAAGTATTGGTAAAGAAGGTCCATCAGTACATACAGCTGCTTGTATTGGAAATGTTGTTTCAAGATTATTTGGAAAGTATAAAATAAACAAAGGTACTATCACAATCACTGCTACAAATAACAATAACAATAGAATGATGATTATTGAATAAAAATGTTTACATGTTATTTTTGTTGATAGCTAAAATGAGAGAAATTACATCTGCATCTTGTGCAGCTGGTGTTGCTGTTGCTTTCGGATCACCAATTGGTGGTGTTTTATTTTCTTACGAGGTAAGTAGCTCATAATATAATTCTCTTCGTTCCATTCTTATTCTCATTATCGATTTTTGATTAAAAAAAAAATTTTTTTTTTTTTGTAGGAAATGAGTTCAAATTTTCCAATGAAAACAATGTGGAGAAGTTTCTTTTGTGCATTAGTTGCAACTGTTGTATTACAAGTAATTACAATCAATTTCCAATTGCCATGGTAGTCAAATTTATTATCATAAATATATAATTAATAAAAATTTTTAGGCAATGAATCCTTTTAGAACTGGTAAATTGGTAATGTTCCAAGTTGAGTACGATCGGGATTGGCATTTCTTTGAAATCTTTTTCTTTATAATATTAGGAATATTTGGTGTGAGTTATTGATACGGGTTTTTTATATAAAATGAAATAATAACTCTTTATCATCATCGTCCTCATCTCGTACTAATCATTGTCATAAATATTTATAGGGTTTATATGGCGCACTGGTTATTAGATATAATCTAATGATTCAATCATTTCGTAAAAAATTCCTTCTAAAAGACTACTATGCAGTTTATGAGGCTGCTATACTTGCTTCCATAACAGCACTTATTGGGTACCTTAATATATTTATGAAAATGGATATGACTGAAACTTTGGGAATTTTATTTCAAGAATGTGAAACAAAAACTCATGATTATGAAGGTTTATGCAAGTATGTTGAGTATTGGAATTTGTGAGGAATTGGGAATTGAAATATTTAATGCTTATGCTCACTATTCACCTATGATATATATGTGATGTATAATATTTAGGGATTCTGAAATGTTTAGAATGGCTTGTTTATTATTTATAGCAACAGTTTTACGTTTTGGATTTATTATAATCACTTACGGAACAAAAGTATTTGTTTATTCTTCTAATAATAATATAAATCTAATAATAATGATGGTGATGATTACAATATTTCAAAATACTAAATCTTAAAATCTCAATTAATTAATAAATTAATTGTAGGTTCCAGCTGGTATATTTATTCCTTCGATGGCTGTTGGTGCAACTTTTGGTAGATTTTTAGGACTTTTTGTTAAGGCTTTATATATGTAAAATACTATTTAATTACATTTTGTGTGTTTTGTCATGTATGATAGATACTGTAAATATATTAATTATTAATTATTTTATCTAGAGCATATCCTGAATTTCCACTATTTGCAAGCTGTAAACCTGATGTCCCTGTTAGTATCAAATATATATTTATACGTATGCTTTGAGTTTTTTTTCAATTAACTTTCAATATTAATTTATTTATACATTTTATTATGAAAAAAAAATTTTTTGAACTTTAGTGTGTCACACCGGGAATGTACGCATTTTTGGGTGCTGCTGCTGCACTTGGGTGTGTAATTAATTATATACTTGTTGAAATTTATCATTTTATATTTTTTAGTATTATTATATTAAAATTTAATTAAATATTTTTTTATAAATTAGTGGGGTTATGCATCTCACAGGTACTATTATCATTCTTTATTATTATTATTATTCAATAAAAAAAAATAAAAATGTTAAATCTATTTTAAAAATTAAAAACTTTATAGTTTGTATAGTTGTTATTATGTTTGAGTTGACTGGTGCTTTAACTTACATATTACCAACAATGGTGACTTGATTCATTAATAATACATTTATCTTTCTATTTCTGTTTCTATTTCTCTTTATCTTGATACTTACGCACATGTGATTATTTGATATATACAGATTACTTTGATGGTTACCAAGACAGTTGGTGATTTATTTGGAAAAGGTGGAATATATCCTTTAATTTTTAAAAATTTTTCTCTCGCCTACCCAAATTCCTGCGCTATAATTACTTGTTTATTATTCATTTATTTAATTATTTCCCCTTAATTGGTTTTTTTTTTTTTAATTAATTTACTGCTGACCAAATGATAAGATCAAATGGATTTCCATTTTTGGATAAAGAAGAATATACATTTGGTGTTCCAGGTTAGTTGAATGGGATTATTTTTTTTAAATAATTTCTCCTTCCAAGATTGTATTATATAAATATATATTTGTTTATTGTTTTGGTGATGATTATATGATAGTTGCAACCATTATGAGAAAAAATCTTACAGTAATGACAGCATCAGGATTAAAATTGGACGAAATTGGTAATAATAATAATAAAGGAGTATATGTTATTATTATTATTTTTAATCCTTTATTTAAAAAAAAAAGATTAATTTTTATTTTTTTTTATGTATAATATTAAAAAAAATCAGAACGAATATTATCAGAATCAAATTTTCAAGGGTTTCCAGTGGTACAAGATAAAAGAAGTATGCAACTTTTAGGACATATAGGACGTCCTGAACTGAAATACGCAATTGGTAACTAATCCAACTAATTATGGTTTTATTTGATATTTATATACATTAACTTATATATTTATTTGTATTATGGAATGAATAAATTAGATAAAGCAAAAAGAATAAAAGGAACATCAATTGGAACTGCGCATTGTTTTTTTAACAGTTTTGATGATTTTAATAATAATAGCATTTATGTTACTACTAATAATGATCCTGATGTTGGTGGTGGTGATGGAGAAAGTAGTAATAGCAGTTCATCTAATTTTATAGATTTTGGTCCTTTTGTTGATCAGGTAATTACTAACAAAACAATGATTGTTGCTTAATTATGAATAATTATTACTACTTGCACAACTTTTTAAAACAATGATTAATTAATAATAAGACGCCTATAACGGTGAATCCTCGTTTGCCATTAGAAACCGTCATGGATTTATTTAAGAAAATGGGGTGGGTAATTGATTCCATAAAAACAATTATATTGATTTCAAAATTTTTCTTTTAATTGATACATTTTTTTTAATTTGATTTTAGGCCAAGAGTAATATTAATTGAACATATAGATAGATTAGTTGGTTTGATTACTGTTAAAGATTTATTAAAATATATTGCAAAAAAAGAAGCTGAAGATGATGCTGACTTGGATGATGATAATGATGACGACGACGACGACGAGGAGGATAATGATGATGATGACTTGGATGGTGATGATGATAATGATGATGAATATGATGATGAATATGATGATGGAAATAATAATTTAAAACTAAAGTCAAGACAAAAAAAACCTAGTAATAATAATAATTATTATAATAATATTTCATTAACAGCGCCATCATCATAATAATAATAATAATAATAATAATAAATATCATATATGTTTAGTAATAAAGATATTGTAGATAGATAGATACATTAGTAGATAAAATACAATATAAATATAAATATATATAATATATGTACCAATATTTTATTAATGCTGTAAAACAAAGACGACAAATAAATTTTATTTTTTCATTATTATAATATTAATATTAATATTAACAAAAATAAAAAAAACCAAAAATTCTTTAGCTTGTACGGAAATATTCGGTTTCTTTAAAGGTGCCTCGCTTTGCATTGAATCGCTACGCGTAACTATGCGTTGCCCACCACTCGATTTTTTAGGTTCTTTATATAATTGAGAACCTAAGAAGATATAAAGATATAGATATTCGATTGGTCTCTGAATATAAAAATATTTTTGTTGATTTATTTACGGACAAAGTAATTAATGTGTGGTTAAGGATAATTAGACTTGTTTTTTTTCTTTTTTAATAAACAATGTTTTATACAAATATTGTAGCAGAATGGACGATGAAACACTCGTCGGAATAATGCAGAATCTGTGATTCAAGAATTCAATTATGTCAATAGTTGGAAATTTCTTTATGTTGGATCCGAATTAATGTAAGAAAACAATTTTTTATATATATTACTCACATTTTAAATGATTCTAAGCAAATCAGCTTAGATTTTAAAAAAATTTAGAGACATTTACAATCTACCAATTTCGTTCTTTTTTCTTCTCCTTGCAAGAAGAAACTGCGCAAAAAGAGGAGCAACGATTTATTTATAATTCATTATTAGCGCATACAACAAATTGATGATTCTTTGTGTGCTTATATATACACAGTTTTAGATGTCAGGAGTTCGGCGGTGACAGAAGCGGTAAAATCGTCGGCAGTGCGGCAGTGAGTGAGTTGTTCATAGAAGCAAATTTGGCACACAGATTGTTTGTATATCGTGAAAATCGAGTGGTTCTATCCCAATTTTGCACAAAGCAAAGCTCCAAAGTGGTGTCGGAGTTCAGAAAAGGAAATAATAACGACTTGTTTGGAATTTGAGCAGCAAATCTTCATCATAAATCTCACCGACATTGGACTTCATCAACATCATTCAAAGTTTACACGACCCTTTAAAAAATACGTAAAATGAGAAAATTTGATTTTCTATATTCTGTTTTTAAAAATGTCAATTTTTTTACAATGCTTGGTTTCAAATTTGTGCGTTTGGTAATATTATTATTACCAACAATGCTGAACAATCATCCCACTGGGAACTTATGCTGCTAGAAAGGAATTTATTTTGGGGGCGTAGTCAATATTTGGTAGGACAACTCCAAATTTAATTCACGCGCATGAAATTCAAATTAGCCAATCAGAATTTTGTATTCAAACTATACATGCTATGGTAATTATTTTGCCAAAAACGTAATACGTAATACGTAATACGTAATTACGAAATTAATTAC